GACGCTGGGTCGCTCGATGGACCGACGCTGAAGGATCGCGGCGGCCGGATCGACATGTCGGCACAAATACCTAGGTATTGCACGGACGGACGTTGGTCCGGCGAGGTGGACCAGACGCGTCCGGTCGGCAAAAGTCGGTTTTGGGAGCTTACTGGAAACGACCGGACACTGGGGTCTGAGCGTCCGATCAGTCAATAGTCGTTGAGATCTGGCGGCTCAGGTTTAACTCAGAATGACACATGGCTTACATCGGGCGACCGGACGTTGGGTCCAGCGTCCGGTCAATATGACCGGAGCGTCCGGTCACCCCGTGTTGTGCCCAGTGAAGGAGTACAACGGCTCTATTTCATGGGGGCCTCTATTTAAGCCCCATGGCCGGCTCAAGCTCACTCTCCTTTAGCGTGGAATCCAACTTGGCATTCCACGCCCTCGGTGCTTGCCGCAAGCCATAGAGGGCCTTGCGCAGGCGGAGCACCTTGCCCTCCTTGCCGGGGATCGCAAATCCCGGCGGCTGGTGCACGTAGACCTCCTCCTTTAAGTCGCCATTAAGGAACGCCGACTTGACGTCCATGTGATGAACACGCCAGCCCTCCTGGGCAGCTAGCGCAAGGAGTCGCACGGACTCCATCCGTGCCACGGGAGCAAAGGCATTGTCGAAGTCGACCCCCTCCTGCTGCACGAAACCTCGTGCCACCGAGTGAGCCTTGTGCTTGACGATGGCGCCGGCTTCATCCCTCTTCAGCTTGTACACCCACTTAAGGGTGATCATGCGGTGACCACGAGGAAGGTCGACCAGCTCCCAGTGCGGTTCTTCTCGACCGCATCCATCTCCAATCGCATCGCGGCCGCGCGCGCAACGCTGTCTCTCTCGGCTCTCTCGCAAGCGACCGAGGCTCGCCGTCGTCACGCAAGGTGCAACTGCGCCTCCAGGTCATGAGGCACCAGTCCCGGCACTGGCTGGTCACCGAGAAGGTTCTCCATCGTCAGTACCGCAACGTCTCGCCGTCGTGGTACACGTCGATGCGCTCCTCGTCGTGAGAGAGCGGAGTAGCGAGCTCAACCGGGCTATGCTCGACACGAGCTGGTGTTGGAGTAGACGTGCCCGGAGAGGTGCCTATCGGTGCTGGAGTGTGTGGCGGGGCCAACTGTGGTGGAGCCGGCGAAGAACCCATCGCAGCCGAGGTCCTGGCTGGAGAGCGTGGTGCTTTGTCCGAGTAGCAAGCGCCGGGGCTGGAGGCTCGAGGATCGGGTAGACGCGCTGTCGAAGAAGAGTTGCCTACTCCCCAGCTCCTCGAAGTGGACGTACTCGACAGTTGAAGTCGCCGTGCGCGTCGGAGCGAGCCGTCGCCCACCGCTTGTCCCCACGCCCATCCTCGCTTTTCGTCGAACACAACGTTGCGCCGTGCGCGCACGCTGCTGCCTTCGGTCGAGGATGCGATGAGGCCTTCGAGCCCTCCGCGTAGCCGGGCGAACACTCCCGGTGCTCCTATCGCCGAGCTTGCTGATGTGGCCAAGCTCCTTGGCGAACGCGAGGCAGCCGAAGACCCGCAAGTGGGAGACCGCCGGCTTGCGCCCATGCCAAGCCTCGTACGGTGTCCTGCCGTCGAGCGCCTTGGTAGGCGAGTGGTTGAGGATGTAGACGGCCGACACCACCGCCTCTCCCCAGAAGACAGCCGGCATCCCCGGCTGCTTGAGAAGGGCCCGAGCCATCCCCACAACAGTCTGGTTGCGCCGCTCGACGACGTCGTTCGCGGCGGACAAACATGGAGTAGTGGCGCTCGAATGCCCTCATCAGCCAGTGAAGATGCGGCCGAAATTCAGCCGCCGGAATTAGCCGCCGTTGTCGTTGTCAAGCGCACGAATCGCCTGCGCACTTGCCGCCGCCTCCGCCTCCATGCACCTCTCCCTTGCTTTGCCGAGGACCATCACCCACATGTAGCGGAGAGGTCGTCGACGAGCGCAGCGGAAGTAGCGTCGTCCTCCCGATGTGGCCGATCACCACGAGCCACACAAGTCCCCGATGCACAAGCTCGAGCCTCTCCTTGGCTCGAAAGCTCGCCTCATTGGGGAAGAAAGAGTCGCCTCGCTTCGTCAACACGCAGACGCCGCAGAGCTGCTCCACATGGTCGAGGCACGGCAGCCTCGCACCATCTCCGTGGCACCGAGCCGCCTGTGGCCTCGAGTGAAGGTGCCCGGCGCTGCGTGCATCGCCACGCTTCGTCGTCCGACGAGTAGCGAGACGAGAGGTTGTGCCACCGACGTTAAGGGCGTGAGTCGATTTATGCGCTTCCGGTCACCTTGGCAAGAAGGCGACGACGGTGATCCCAAATCCTCATGACTCCATCCTCAACCACCACGCGCGAACCGTTCTCATCCACCGTCCCAAGCCGATGATAGAGTTCCTCAACGCTGGATGTATGTAGACTCGTGAGCAAACTGTGCTCACCAGACACTGCGTGAAGATGACGGAGCCGACGCCCTTGATCTCCATGCCGGAGGCATCCCCAAACTTGACGGAGCCTCGGACGCTAGAGAGTCAAGCTCGGTGAAGAACTTCCGTCGACCGGTCATGTGATGGGTGGCGCCAGCAGTCGAGGCACCACCCGCCGGCCTTTGATCGTCGTTACCGGAGCCGCGGCGCCGAGGAGGCGTGTGCTGGCTTTGCTCGTCAAGGTGGAGGAGAGCCGCTGCGGCGGTGCCACCGAGGTAGCTCGATGCTTGCATGTGCCATGAATAGAGCCGGCTCCTCCTCCGCTTTGTCTGACGTGGGCCCTAGCCGCGTCGTTCTTGTTAACTGATCCTTGGCCCAATGGCCAAGCCGCGCGATTCGACAGTGTCGTCTCGTGTCGCTTGTGCTTGCGCGGCGCGACGCCTGGCGCCTCCTCTGGTATCACCCTCGGCGCCTCCTCGCGCCCGGCACAGGCGTCTCTCGCTTTTGCGCTTGCTTGCCACGCTTTGCCCACACTGTCGCGAAAGAAGGCTCCCTTCTTCCGGTCACCTTGGTACGGCAAGCCACCGCTTGCTCGAGTGAGAAGGAGCTTCTGCCCGGTGGTGATGGGCCCCGAGAGATCGTGGGCTCATCGCCGCCGGCGACGACCTTAAGGTGACCTATCGCCTCCTCGATCGACATCGTGGAGATCCAGCAGAGACTCGATCGAAGCGAGCCATATGCTTGTACTTTTCGGGGGCGCAGCGGAAGAGCTTTTCGACAGCTCTCTCTCGCCGTAGGTGTCATCGCCGAACGCACCATCTTCTCGCAATGCAGTGTTGAGACGGAGAGTAAATTCATCAACGTCATCACCGGGCTTGAAGGCCAGTGTTCTCCCACTCCTTGTGAAGTGCTGCGCAGCAGGACTTGCGGGCGCGGTCAGGCCGGCGATGCGTGCCACGCCGATGGCATCCCAAGCCTCCTTGGCGATCCGCTTGTTGGTAAGCGAGAATCGCATCTCGGATGGGACTGCAGCGATGAGGGCATCCAGCGCACGTCGATCTAGGTCGTAGTTGACGTCACCGTACCGGACTGCCTCCCACATGTGCCGCACCTGGAGCTTTACCCTCATCACCGCAGCCCACTCGACGTAGTTGGTTTTAGTGAGGGTAGGCCACCCACCGCCGGGGCCGACGTCCCTGACGACACACTGAGCCCGTGGTAACCACGGTACCGATCCGGGGAGAGAGAGCCACGCTCCCTGTGAAGACCGCGCTCTCCATCGACCCGTCCGTCACCGTCGCCATGCGCGCCTCCTCCAGGAGCGCCGGCGGCGCGTCCGCGCCTGTCATGCCGGCTGCCGCCGCCGCGCGCGTGGCGTCGCGCGCTGCCATCGCGCGCCGCCAGCGCTCGCCTCCTCCCTCCCCAGCAGCTCGAGGTCCGCGTCGGCGCAATCGTCAGCAGAAATGGAACTGCTGATGCTGCCGCGCAAGGCCTCGACCTCTCTTTGCCGCCGCCGCCGCTCCATCCGCCGCCGCTCATTGCTTTCGCCTCCTTGCTTCTGCCAGCCGCCACCGACGCTTTGCCGCCGCCGCCAGCGGCTCTCTCTACCGCCGCTTCGCTTCGCGTTCCTGCTGCGCAAGTTTCGGCCTCCTGCCGACGCCAAGCGTGCTCGAGGCGACCGAAGCGTTGAGACCGCCTCATGGACATGACGCGCCATCTTGGGGCTGCTTGCGTGGGGGCAGGGTTGCTTCGATTTAGCCTGCCACAGTGGGGAGAGGAGTGAGCGAGGAGCGGCCAGAGCTGCTGCTCCTAGTCAGGCTGTTATTGCGGGTGGGAAAGCGAGATGAGCAGGAGATGCTCGAAGCTACGAGGATAATATGGCTCTGATACCAGTTGTTAGTCGCTGAATTCTTACTCTTGGTAGTAGCAGAATTCTTACTCTCATCGAGAAAGGATGACACTAGAAGTTAAGGCAATTTTCTGATTTATTTCTTACTCAAATGCCATACCAACCTGAGGGGTTGGGAATACATATTTATAGACTGCTAGCCAGCCAAGCATATACCAAGATGCTAGTCTAAGATGCTAAGATGTTGTCCTCTAAGATGCTGTCCTAGATGCTAAGATGCTGTCCTTGTGACAGCAACAGCCAGCAGCCCCACAAAGACCAGACCATCCAGACTTATCCACCAACAGTGGGATTCTTGGCTGGCACTAACTGCAGAGGCTTATGCTTGACATCATTCAGAATTATCCTTGTGACATTCCCTGCCACATTCTCTAACATGATCATGATGTAAGGTGCCAAGCCACAATAGTTCTGAGGGCTCTGTGATATGATCTTGATCTCCTCCCACACAAAGTCAAATACACTAAAAGGTGGGGCGCTCTCCCTCATCCTAGCAAGCAAATTTCTCATGTAGTTGCGCACACGAGAATCATCTCCCTCTCAGATATATTGTCTTCCTGAACATCCTGTTGAGAGTGGAAAAGTAAGTGTACAAGCCATCTACGTTCCCAAAGTTTCCTTGATTTGCAGCATGGTACATGAACTTGGTCCTCGATGCAGGCAACACATGCTTGCTGTGAATCCGAGGACGACTCAAGTCTTTGCCACTAAAGCCAAGCACCTTAGCAAGCATCTCATATGTAATGGATTAATCTTTTTCCTTCAAGTCTCCAATGCAACTCCCAATTTCCTCTATGTTCAGCCCTTTCATCAAAGAAAGCAGTGGCAAAGAACTGGGCTATCAACTCCACATTCCAATCTCTCCTATAACCCAGAAGTGTCTTCAACCCTCTAGAAGTGCATGCATCAATGATCTAGTTCAAGATTGGGTCATTGTGCTTTTTCATGCTTTCCCAATCTATATACTGAGACACCACAACTGGATTAGCCTTTGAAAAGATTACAGTCTCATAGAAATCCTCTTGAAAGCGAGTGTGAAACCTATAGTCAAAAGCATCTATAGGTGTACTCCTAGGATCCACTCTCCTCAAATCTCTCACAACCTTAGTCATATCTTCATCCATGTAATTGGTTAGAGGTCTATAAGCAGAAGCTCGTGGTTTACGCATTTTAAGCATGGCTGGATGCTGAATAGGATCTTGCTGACTTGAGCTTGACTCACGCTGCCTCGGAGCATTTCTTTTGCCATGAGGACGCTCAGATGGCCCATCTTCCTTTATCTCTTCCTCAGTTTCATCATCTGTGGAGGTGCCAGGTAGCTCAGCTTCCTCATTAATGTGCAAAGTGCCTCTGGGAAGATCCTGACTAGCTAGCCGCTTAGCTGCTAATCTCCTGGGCCTGCGCTTAGCTGCTAATCTCCTGGGCCTGTAAACAACCCCGCTGTCCTCAGGAGCATCTGCTGCTCCTGTGGCCCCGGTGTCGGTGCTATGCCTTCCCTCACAGCCCTTCTCTGACGGGGATCCCTTCTAATATACATCATTGATGAACCTGAGATCAAAAGATAGATAAAGCTTGCATAAGATATCAGGTAAACAAGATAGAACATTTGAAGCACAAGGAATTTAAGTTTGTGCAAATGTGAAGGTAGGCTGCAAAAACAGGCTTAGACGATTTCCGAAATAGGCTTAGCCGATTTTAGAAGCAGAATTAGCCAGTTTTTGTAAACTGCCAAAAATTTACACAAACATGCTCAACTGAGAGATATAATAATGTAGTCAATGGAACTGATCAAGGGCTTGGATAGATTGGATGCATTTCTCAAAACTCAATTTTGGGAGTTCTCTGCAAAATCAGGCTTAGCCGGTTTCAGAAACCAGCTTAGCCAGTTTTGGCAGTGTACACCCAAATTTTGATTTCTTGCAATGTTGCCAAACAAAATGATTTTCCTTCAAGGTATAGCAATTAGGGCATCTATGGAAAACTTCTACCAAAGGGATTCAAAAGACCTTTGCTATACCAGTATACCATCCTAAAAAAACAGGCGTAACTATGTTTCCAAATCTCCCAAGCAAATAAGATTATCAGAGAATTAAGCCCTTTCTTTACCTCCTTCGGAACTGCTTTGATTGTCCTCCACCAGCTATTGAAACGAGAGTCCTCCCATTGTGGTGCAAAAGGAAGCAACCCCAACACAGGAAAAATTGATGTCCAATCCTGCCTTGAAGCCTGATCACACAAGGGACAAACTGCAGGGTAGGGAAGCCCTTGTCTTGGAAGGTGATCAGCAGTTCTTGAAGGTTCCGCAGGTTTGTGGAACCACATGAAGATCACTTGGCTGCTGTGAAGCATATCTTGGGGTATATTGCTGGTACATGAAGCTATGGTGTGTGCATCACCAGGAAGAAGAAAGATCAGCCTGAGTTGCTGGGTACAGTGATAGTGACTTGGGAGGAGATATAGACAACCGGAGAAGCACTTCTGGAGTTCTCTTCTTCCTTGGGACAGTCCTGTCACATGGCAGCCCGGCAAACAGAAGGTGTTTGCTTTGTCTTCCTGTGAGGCTGAGTACATTGCCGCAGCATCCACGGCATGTCAAGGCATCTGGCTGGCATGGCACTTGGAGCCTGAGCGGCAGAACTATGGGTGGACAAGAAGTCTGCCATTGCACTCAGCAAGAATCCTGTCTACCACGCCCGGATTAAACACATCGACACGAAGTTCCACTTCATCTGGGAGTGCTTTGACGGAGGATCAAGGTAGAGCATGCCAACACTGAAGATCAACTGGCTGACATCCTTACAAAGCTGCCCGGGTGTGTTCGATTTCAGGAACCATGTGCCAGGATCGGCATCATCGACACTACTGGTGAAATGTTGATCATGACAAGTTTTTTTTTTTTTTTTTTTTTTTTTTGCGGGGCGATATATCGTGTCAATCAATTTGTCTAGTTAGCTTCCTGTTTTGTCTAGGTGTTTACGTGCAGCCCCTTAGTCTCGTTGCATGTTCCTAGTATAAACCAACAAGAATATGATAATGGAATAAAATGGGTCGCACCAGAACGTAGCATTTAAAACATTAACACAAAAAAGTAGCAGCAACAATATGGTATAGGATAAGACTAACCAGATTCAACAACTGGAGATGGTGGTAGGATATTCACAGATAGGTCAGCTAAAGTATGTAATGCATCGAGAGCTGAACTTTCATCTGCAAAACAAGGGCGGATTGATGGTTTGCACTGTACAGACGTAATGAAAGCAAGAACTAACAGGTTACCCTAAAACTAAATAAGCATCGCACTGAAGTATTAGAGCATATGAGTGCATAAAACCAAATGACTAAACTAAAAAGAACACTTAGGACATATTTATGGCAGGAAAAACTCAGTCTGATACCTGACAAACAATTATGGTTCTACATATGTTTCCCAGGTTACAGAAATCATTAAATCTTATATTATAGTGCAATGCAACATGCACATAGACAAACAACATTATAAATAGAATTTGGATCATGACAAAGCATGAGTTCTTGATATTCAAGGAAGATAATGCAACCACATAAATCAGGTGCAAACATGAAAGTTTTACAGGCAGGAAAAAGAAACCAAAACAAGTGTTCCTGGTTAAGAAGAAGAAAAGAAAATGAAATCATTAATTCCTCCTTAACAAAAAATGTGCTCAGCGCATTCTCTAAAAATAAATTGTGATAAAATTTGCTTTGCTGAAAGAGACACAAATCCCATGTGCAAAAAGAAACCGCAGAGGGATTTGCAAGGTTAATGGCAGACTACATTGACACCAAGACTGGCCAGATTAAGGAATCAGATGGGGTTTTTTTTGTGCTCTAATACTAGTAAGTTGCAGAATCAATTCAAGGATAATATTTTCACAGTATAAAAAAAATAAACGGTATGTTCTTGAACAAGAAAATTAGACATAACTCAGATCCCTACTAAATAGTAATAACAAATAAAAAAGAGATCTCACAAGACTAGAAGATTATGCTATCTGCATGATTGATACTTGGCAGAATCATATCTAGCATCCAGATTGTTATTACAAGGGATCTTGTATCAGATCTATGATCATCAAAAGATATTCGTATTACTGACTTCAAAAACAGGATACGAAGCATAGCCATAGATTTAGGGTACTACTAACTTCATACTATTGTAAATCCAAACTTATGATAGATGCTTCATGCTTGTGCAGTCAAGATGTCAATTGACTGATGCTCTGCTGCCTAAAAGCCCAGTGCCAAAATGACTGACATACTGAGCTTAACAAAGTACACAGAATCCACAATTGTTTTATCTGCATTCTGGTTCTGGTATGAAATAGGACCGTATTCTTCTGAGCAAACTAAATTGTGTACTCCAAGTTATAGCAACCAAAGCATTTCAAAGTCGATTATGAGTTCAGTGACAGAAGAGAAAAATCACTGATTTTCATTGGCCTGCTGGAACTAGCTCCAACAATATTGCATTTGTGGAACCAAACCATTATTCCATACAATTCTGTATATCCCACATTCCCACATAGCCAATATAATATCTGACAGATTATGTATGTTTCCTAGCTGTACAAAAATCACTCCTGTCCTGTTACAAAGACCAGACATGTACATAGGAATATGTCAGATTACCTCCACAACGTTTTTTCTTCGACAAGGAAAGGCATCCATAGCTCGATGAAGCAGGCTGAGGTTGCAATAGATCAGTATAATCTGTATCAGATTTCTTAAACACAGATTGAAATTCTGCACGATTACGCTTCTGTGGCCTCGTAGAAGCTTTTGGTGAATCATTGCTTTCTCGATCACTGTTACTTCCATCCTACAGTCCATAACAGATTTCCTTGTGAGTATTTTTCAATAAATGTAACTGAAGCATATAGCATTATTCTGAAATGTAATTCACGACTGCTGAAGCCACATACCCCATCACATAAGGAGTTGAACCCAGCAAGACAATTCAGTACAATTACTCATGTGCAACAAATAGTTCTAGATCTTAGCATTTGTGACTGATGCAAAACTAATTACTGATTTTGCATATAATAACAAGCAAAAGAAATGTTTTTGAGGCATTTTTTTTTCTCAAACAACGCAGGTGAGCTGTGTGTCATTTCATTAAGAGGAGAATAAAAAACAAACAGAGGATAGGCAGAGCCTGCTCCCCCAAGTAACCAATTACAAGACTCTTAGCACCACACAATATGAAAAACAGACGACCACTACCAAAAAAGCGCCTAAACAGCTACAGGCAGCAACCTACTAAGAAGCTGTTGCGGAGCCTTAGCTCCAGCCCAACACCACAACATACACTCTTCAGTAACTACAGCTAAAACTCTTTGAACACAAGGACTAGCACCCTCAAAGACACATGCATTCCTATGCTTCCACAACTCCCAAGCAACCAGAATGATGAGTGAATTCAATCCTTTTCTTATCTCTTTTGGAACATCCATATTGTTTTGCACCACCAGCTACAAAAACGAGAATCCTGTAGCTTCGGTGCAAGGGGAAGCAAGCCCAACACATGAAAGATAGTCGTCCAAACCTGCCCTGTGAAAACACAAGCAACCAGGGTATGCTGTATTGTTTCATCAGCTTGATCACATAAAGGGTAAACAGACGGGTGAGGAAGTCCTCTTTTTGCAAGGCAGTCAGCTGTCCAACAGCGGCACTTAATTGCCAACCAAATAAAG